GAAAGTGAGAGAAAGGTTAGAAGTTAGATTGTGCTGATGAAACAAGGATGTGACCCAGAAGAAGTGAAGACGATGTTTGTGAGAAATAAGCCTAGGGGTAAACGTTGAATATAATTAAGATGAGACGAGGAGTGGTCATAGAGGTGAATAGTAGGGAGGATGCAAAGAAGCTGCAGGAGAATGAAAGATTAAAGAATGAAGGGTAGGAGATGAGAGAGGGCAAGAAAAGGTACCCAATGGTGTTGATCTATGACATAGAAGTAGGAAACAGCATAGACAAATAGAATAAATATAGACTGTCAAAGGAAGGTTCCGGCGCCCACCGCTAGGGTTTGACGTGTAGTTACGGCGCACACAGCTGCAGGTGGGGAGCGCAGGAGCCATATGCGACCAGCAGACGCTGCAGCGGTGTGCGCCGTAACTACACGGCAAACCTAGCGGTGGACGCCAAAACTTATGCTAACCGCAGCACAGCTGACGATCTATATTTATTCTATTTGTCTATGGAAACAGTGAGCAAGAGGTGATGAAGGAAATATGGGACAAAAATGTCAAGGAGTATGGTACGAAGGAGGAAGAATTCCTCAGAGCAATTAAGATTAGGAGAAAAATTAAGCAGAAAAGAGAGGGACAGGTCCCGGGAGCAGGAAGAAGGAAGGAGAGGTTTGAGAACTGGGCTGTCGAAGTCAGTCCGACTATTTTGAGATGGTGAATGGAGAGGGAAAGGCTGTATTATGGATGGAAACGATGTAAGGTTAGAGGCAATACATGGACATGGTTAGATGTTTTAAGTGCAATGTATATGGGCACGTGGGCAAGAGCTGCACAGGAAAACAAACTTGCGGATTCTGTGCAAAATCACAAGTGGGAGGAGTGTAAGGCCAGACAAGAGGACAAAAAGTGTGTCAACTACGCAAAGGAAGGAAGAGTGGCAAATCACACAGTACTATATGCAAGATGTGAAGTCTATCAGAGGGCTGAAAAGTGCTACTTAGGGTCATTAAGCCAAAATGATCAATTTTAGACAATGGAATGTGGGGAGGTGTATGGAAGTCACGAGGCAGGTGGTGGACGAAGTATTGAATCAGAAGGTACCACTACTGCAGGAGCCGTACCACTTAAAAGGGGCGATTAGGGAAACACGAGGAGTCTGGTCCTATGAGGCTGAGGAAGCGGGAATATGGTCGGCAGTAGTAGTACTGTATGAGAAAATCAGGGGATTGCTGGAGAGAGATGTGAGTGGGAAATATCTAGTGTGTGTCATTATGGAGATTGAAAACATAAAAATCAGATGCGTGAGCTTGTGCTGGAGTCACTCGTTTTTTTTTAGAAATCATAATTTTTATCACAAAATACATTGAACTGCTGTATTAAAAAATGTACTTTAGCTTTGAAACAAAACTTTACAAAGGAATAATATTTTATACAGCATATTCAAACATAATTTTACTGGTAGGTAGGGAAAGCGACACAGAAAATTCTCTACCCCAATGCGGCAACAATCGTAACTATATCTTGCAGTTCGGGGACACCAGTAATCGTTTTCCGTGATAGGTGGAACAACCGTGAGCTTTTTTTGCTGTCTTAGCGACACCCCTGTTCTTGTCTTGCGATCCCGACAACAACCATGAGCATTCCATGCAATCTCAGTGACATCAATAATTGTCACCCCCAATAACTGCAACATCCGTGAGCATCGGCAACATCTAGCAGTCGGCAACACTGGTCATCATCTCCCCGAAACAGCTACATCTGTGAGCATATCTTGCTCTCTTGGCTACACCGCTATTCTTGTCTTGCGATAGCAGCATCTCCAGTGATGGGTCTTTAGTTACACCAATGTTTCCGATGACCGAGATTCAGATTACCGGATATTTGGGTTAATTCCTGGAGTTATCCAGGATATTTCAAGGTAATATAAAATTCCTGAAGGGTTCCCAGTTTTCCCCAAAAGTAGACACCATGGAGTCATTGACTGAAGCAAATCGTCCCTCATGGTATGCAGGCATATATGGTGAGCGGAACACGGTGGCGTCAGCATTAACATACAACTTGCTTGCATGGTGGCTTAAGACGGAATCTGATGGTGAAGGAAAAGTCTAATAAAGGTTTAAAAGTCTTACTGATGACATCGTTTTCAACCATCATTTTGGTTCTCATGGTGTCCATAGTAGCATGTTGTGATTTTGAGCGAGGGATGAGCTCACTTACTCTTAATACAACGATTGTCAACAATTTAAGGTCTTCAACGAGCTCCAGTTGCGGCCATGCAAGCTTATTCAAATCTGACACCAGCCCCTATGCTATTTACTTCCCTGAATGCTATTTCTAAGTCCGCAACTATTTGCAGCCATTTGTTTTGTCCAAGTTGCCAATAATGGTATGAAGAAAAATCGACACTCGTAACACATATCAATAGCATTCTATAATTAGGTTTCTGCTGTTGGGGTCAGCTCCTATAAAATTCTTTGTCAATTGACAGATTTAATAAATTGTTGAGACATAAAAAAAATGTTAAAGCGGCTTAGCATCTCACACTCCATTCTACCACACCTACTCTTATTTCATATTCAGTTTGAAATACCCTCCAAAGTGGATGCACACTTTACACACTGTCTTATTGAATTAAATTAGGGAGTATGTAGAATTTATGTACAAGTTAAATGCATTACGAGGGCAACAGCAGGCGATCAAAAATGTCTATTCAAGTTGATGAAGTACTTTGAGTTGAGTTTGCTTTTAGATCGGTGTGTTCAAGCCTACAAGGGTTTAACGTTGTCCTTGATAGTCTTAGAGAGGTTGAGGTTCCATATGATTACGGCAATCCCTCAACTACATGCGCAATCCTGATGGAAGTGTTGACAAATATCGAGCGAGATTGGTAATCAAAGGATGTGCGCAAAGACCTGGTATTGATTATGCCGAAACCTTCAGCCCGGTTGCTCGTCTGGAGGTCGTTCGATCAATATTGTCCATCTCAGCTGTTGAGAAGATGGTTCTACGGCAGTTTGACGTCTCAACGCAGCTTATACGAAGTTCTGCAAGAAAATCTCGGACTCTCGGCATGACTATGCAAATAAGGGAAAGTGTTGGAAATGCCTGCCTTTATTATTTATTTGTAATTGTCATACTTCAGATGACGTGAATGTTGTTTTTACTATCAGCTGTCTGTTTTGTTGTCCAATATGGTTCCTTGTCATGAAAACATTAATGAGAAATACATTTGATTATTTTATAGTTTAAATTCGTTTTTCGTTGTAGTTATACTTAGATTATCCCTAAACATCTCCACTTGGGAGAATAATTCAATAACCCTTATATTGGAGCTAAATACTTATCCATTACTATCAAATTGTGAATAAACGGCGCATTGTTTCTCCCTTGGAGCTGCTGTAGAACCCACTCAATTGTTCAAGTAGGCCTATAGTAAAAAATAAAAATATCAATTTTTGGATTTGGTTCTAAACAAATTTCAATGTTTGATTGCTTTTTCCTGGTCAAGGTAATAAATTTTACCAAGGCTATAAATGGGGGCACAAGTTTTTTTTTTTGCAAAATATTTGGAAAATATTTTAAACTGCTCCAGAGTACAATTCTCCTCACTTCAGTTCCCACGCTTGACTCATCACTGCCACTGATTGCATTTAATATGCCTATGTGAAGATACTAATAAAAGGTAGCGATATTATTATGTTGCTACTTGTTCTCCCTCATATTTATATGTGGGCTATTAATTTTTTATGTCATATTTTCATCACTTACCAATGTAAATTCCTTTTGTGAAATCAGATCATAAACAAATTATCAATTCGTTAGCGAATAAAGTTGCTGTAGTGTTCTTGCTTATGATTGTATTTACGTTTGACGAGTTCTATTTAAAATTGTAATATCACACCCTTCTCCTGCAAAATAAGCAGAAATCCAAGAGGCAGTGAGTTTAGAAAGAGGGTGGCAAAATGTAGGACAGTGAAAAAGCGTTACAAAAAGTTCTTAAAATATGTAGCCTACAGTATCATTAAAATCATTTAGGCATAATGATCATTTGAACAGAAAGTGATGTATACCTGAAAACTGAACTTAAGATGATGAGTTTACAAAAAAAAAAAAAATAGGAAAACCCAGTAATTTGAGGTGTTGGCTGTTAAGAGTTTTAAATGTTTGCAATTACATCTCACTTTTTTTAATTCAATCTTTTTTACAAGTTTTACATATAAATGCAAATATAAATTGGAAATATAAATGTGTATGTAAGTAAAAATTCAACTTATTATATATTTCATTGGTGGATTACGTTTTTGTTTTTACTTTACTATGCGTGTAATTTTTTTTAGAATCAAAAGTATACACAATATAACGAGCCTTATGGTTGTTATATTGCAGATGCCCATGCAACTTGTAAACTGCCTATTTTCATTTTATGATTCAAATTAATGTCGGCGTGGAGGAGGAGGAGCGCAACTACCTCTTGGGCCCACATCGCATCAGATGTTAACAGCGGGCCTGAGTCAAGGGATAGTAGACTGCAGGCACTTACCAGGAGCCTGGCCACAGATGGTATCTAAGGACACCAACTAATATAGATGTGCAATGAACAACCTGACTCTGGATTATAAGCTTCGGGAGCTCAATCCCCTCTTTCAAAAAGCTGCACAACAGAGTTAGGGCTGTAAGCCTACAGCAGGGTTAAGAATATTTGATGGTATTTTTCATATTATTTTAACAAATTGGCTGCTTAAGAAAAACCAAAAGACTTTTTACAAATTTGAGTTTAATACTGAAGTAAAACAACAGAGCATAATAATGTACTTAATAACTTAAAACGTTATAAGTGCAATGACCATTTTATACATTTCAACAACAAGTGTACCATTATCACACAAATTACCTAGGATAATATAAGTCTTTTGAGAAGTAGAGAAAATTAATTTAATCCACGACATGAAGTAATCCTAAGTAACCAAACCCAAAGTGAAGTGCGGACACTGGAGAACGCAATAAAAGATAGGACTATTGTAATTATTATTAAATAATCATGAAATAATGTTTAACATTCATAAATGTGACAATAGCAGAATATGTTTTGTGTTAAATAGGATTACCTTTCATCAAGTCAGAAATAAGAAAATACAACCCCAAAACAATAAAAAAATCTTTTTGACAAAGTTGGAGAAAGTTACTTTTTCTTTTTTGTTTTCTGATGTGATTCTCCCTCACCCTCAGTCCTGGGTTTCTGCCACTGCAGAGGTTTCCTGCGGTACATCGGCCATGGAGGAATTGTTACCTAAACATTAAATAAGGCTTTAAGCTAATTAAATATTTTTTACATTATATCAATAAGATGTGGCATGATTGTGTTATAAATGGTTACTTAAGTGTCTGCCTAAAAAATCAATGATCAAAAGTTGTTAGAGATTATGATACTAGACACAAAAATAGATATTGCGCACAACACATAAAAAGGGCCCAACACAAGAAGATGCAAGATAACTTCAGTGTAACTGACACAGCAAAGTTTCCTTGAGTTTGAATGGAACTGCATTGTATTAGCCTACCTTCTAACAAGACACAAAACAACAATGAAACACCTGAGTGGGTTTAAATTGTAAAGTAAGATACAGAATATTGCCTCATGACAAGGGCAAGCAAGGTCAAAAAAACCTTCTTTGCATGCGCTGCCCATCATGTTGCATCCCCTTCTTACCCTCTATCATGTCTGCAAGTACTCAAACACATTTAACAGTTCCAGACCAAGTGACAGGACCGATTGTTATGTTGAATCCTTTTGATATGGTCTTTTTTAATTTATTCAACCTAATACTTACAATGGCGGCTAGAGCGAAGCCTGCTCCTACGATGTACACAGTCTGCGAAAACTGCTGAATAATGTAACCCCAGACTAGACCAACTGCCTGTAAAAACAGTATAAGATTACATCTTGAGAAATGGTTTTAGAAGTAAAATTAATTACAGGAGACTGGGATGTTGGCGTCGTCCTGTAATCAAGCTACTAGGAGGTCACGAACTGTGGATATTTATAGCTCTATAAATATCCACAGTTCGTGACCTCGTATCGCATCCACAGTGCATCTGATCTCTAGATCAGATGCACTGTGGATGCGATACTCCCTGGTGCTGATTAACGTCTGCACTAGTGAGTACTACGACTATTCGCAGTACCATCCAGATAATTAGACCAATTCGTTAATACCAAGGCAAGAATGAGAGAGAAAATCACCGAAAACAAAAAGCGTTGCCAGGCGGGATTATACGGGAAATTTTAATACCAACCTAAACCCAACTTACAGCAAATTAAAGTATAGGACTAGCACAATATGCTGACATAGTTTAGTTGATCCCTGATAAATGCAGAGGTCACAGTAGAAAAACTTGTGTAGCACTGCACTACGACTCCGACCAGAGTCGCGTGCTTGCTGTGCCAGTAAGGCATGACTCAGATCGGAGTCGTCAGCAGTGAACGTGTTAAATGGTATTCTTAACATATTGGCCTAAAAGGTTCATGTTGAATTTACACGTTCTTACTTTTTACTTAGGCCTATGTGTCAATACAGCCAACCCGACAGTTAAATAGGCTTTTTTACAGCATCATAAACATTAGTCAGATTATACATAATTTGAGAAAACAATTCTCCTCTGCGGGATTTAAATTCTGTCTGAGAATTCTAACTTTATATCTTTTATTCCAACTTTTGTCAAATCTTTATAGACAATATACAAAGTCTATTTAACTTATACCCTTTCAGTGCTAGGCCAATAATTCGTATTTCGTAAGACTGTTTTGTTTGCGTTTTAATTCCATTACCTGATGAATTGTAACTGTATTGTTGTCACTATTTTATAAGTTAGGCTAATTTGGAATAGTAAGACAATAACAAATATATGACAAAGAAAAGTCCGGGTATTTGTTGTAAACATTAAATAAAACTTTGTTTTTCTTGTAAATTTCCAAGTTTTCTTATAAATTTTTATGTTCTGATAGCATTGTTTGAAACCAAAATCTCATAAAATCAAAAGACAGTTTTGAATATTGAATTTAACCTTGATTTAGTTTGATGTTATTATAATACGACCATTTTAGGAAAAATACTTTTTTGGAGCAAAGCATCAGTAACACAATTGATGATCACTGTTGTGGTAAAACTGAAAAATATCATCTAAATAGTCCAACGTACTGCTACCTTGTAATGCATTGAACAACCTGCTGTAGCGCTATGTGTTCGCAATGGTTGGCGTCAGCTTAAATACCAGTTTTTGACTCCTCAGTCTACAAGCACAGATAGCCGAGAAGGCTAGGGCGTGTCACTTGGCAAGTGGCATTCGTTTGCTCGGGTTTGATTCCCGTCCTGTATGGCAAATAATTGGTGACCTGTGTGTTTGTAGCATGAACTACAACCACTGGGGCATAGTGAGTTGTTGATAATCCTTGGTTTAGACATAATATTGAACATTGTATTGTTTGACATAGAATTTTCAGCTAAATAATGGTAAGCAGCCAGACCAGAGACCTAGTTTTTACATTCATAATTTTCGGTTAAGATTCATATCAGAGTAAATATTTCTCAATTGTATCATGTATTCCTAACAATAAAAAGTAGTTTAACTAGTTGCTAGCCCTTATAATTCAACTTAATTATACATTTCTAACAAGTACCGTGTAGTCAGATTTTTTAGGTTCACCTGTAGTACTAAAAATGGCTTTTTATACTTACACCAAACAAGGTTATGATAATTCTTGAAAGACGTTCTGCTCTTTTCTGTCCATCAAAGTCCTGAAACAAAACTAAGGTATTAGACATATCATAACTAATCCATCTTAAAAACCTCTTCATAAATGAAATTCCCAATAGGGAATAGCTTTAGCTATAAATATGAGTGGTAAGACCTAGGTTAGGGACTGATTAGCTAAGTACATTTTGTTTCAGAGTCTTCAGAAGTTAAAACACCGTTTTCTCAAATTGTTATGTAGGCTATACAATTTTTAGGATGTGTCTTTAATAACTTCCCACCTGTTATTATAACATTTGGGAAAAAAATACTAAGCCTAGATTCTATAAAGTACGGTAGACTCCCTCTTACCCGGACACCTTTTAACCGGACACCTTTTAACCGGACATCGATTTAACCAGACTACACTCAGCAGAAATTACATCTCTTTAACAGACAATTTTTATCAGCACATCGGTTTAACCGGACTATATCGGCAGGAAGTGGGCGGTACTGAAACGACTGTTCTCGTTGGAAAGATTTGAGACCAGTGATCTTGCTTCTAAACACAAAGCTCTCCTAAATTTAAGTCAACTACTGTATACAGTATGCATTTAAACGGTCCATTTTAACGAGTCTTTGGGGACGTCCATTTAACCGGAAAATCCGTTATCCGGACTGGCCTCGGTCCCGAGGAGTAGATTTCACCTGTCGCCAATTATAATCCTAAGAAAAACACTTCAAATTACTATTTAAAAAATGCAAGCATTAAATAAAAGGAGGATTGTTCTTGACATTCAGTTGGGATTAAACTTCAGTTAAATTGAATATTCTTGATCCAGCAAATGAGATTTTATTTTGGTCATGTGGTAACACTGAATGATTTGTACATAAAAGAAATAATAACGTAACTTCAAACCAACAGCACATTTGAAGTAGGTAGGCCTAAATTTCTAAAAAGTAGTTAGCCTACCTCCGGATAGGTCTAGGTAGGCTATGCTAGACTTAATATCTAGCTCAGTGGTTTGTCCACTCTCACTCTTTGTACATCAGTTAACTTACTCTACTGTAGCCTATCAATAAAGCATTGTATGAGATATGATTAGTGAAGTACGTAGTCACCAATTTTTACAATCGCCCTCTATTACTGATAGCTCGCTAGAGCGGCTCCAGAGGCGGGGGCAATAGGGCATAACTTCTTCCCCAACCCACCCCAGAGATTTAGTTTTTGGTAACTTAGGCTATCTAACTTAGTATGAGCAATAAACGATCCTTAGTTATAATTTGTAATTTTTATACGTTTAGTTTTATGTACCATACTCTGTGGAAGGAGGGATAGAAGATTAGACTTTGTTTTGTAATCCATTCTTGGGGTGAATGAGTGAATAACTATTATAAAATTAAAAAATGATGATATTAAAACCTAAACAATCTTTTCCTAATTTCATGCCCCATGTCCCACCATTCTTATTAAATACAGTATTTAAATAGTTCATAATACTGTATTAATAATAAAATAAGCAGTTACCTTGTTCAATATCCTTTTGTGCTATTTGATGACGACCGGTTTCGTGACAACAATCACATCATCAGGTCAATCCTCGTAGAACGATTCGTTAATACATAAAGTTTTTACCGAACACAAGACGAAAACACATTGTATTTACAAGATATTTACACGGAGAAACCATCGCGATGCGTTCCGTGTAAATATCTTGTAAATACAATGTGTTTTCGTCTTGTGTTCGGTAAAAACTTTATGTATTAACGAATCGTTCTACGAGGATTGACCTGATGATGTGATTGTTGTCACGAAACCGGTCGTCATCAAATAGCACAAAAGGATATTGAACAAGGTAACTGCTTATTTTATTATTAAAATTTTCAATATCCAGTAGTAGGAAAATGAACTCTGATACTGTATTAGGCTATTTTTTATAGTCTAAGCATACCAAGGGGCTACCAAATACCGTAAATGATTGGCCCACTAAAAAAATTTTGTGCTTTATATTTAACTTATACGTTTTGCTTTTCATTTTGAATAATGTAACATAAAATATGTTTACTAGCAGAATTGATAATCACATTTATGCTTGATCAAGAGATGGCCAGTCCCTGAAGTAGTCTACAACCTCTAGTCCATTGAGTTTCTGATAAATGTAGGTAGGCCTAATTAATTGGCAAATTGGGATGAATCTATTTACACAATCTCATGAAAAGTGACATAAATAAAAGGTTGGCGGTGTTACAACGTGTGATAAAGCATGATTTCTTTGAAGGAAAAAGTGTAACAGTTGCTAGTAAAACGGAGTCTATAGCCTAACACATGTTTAAAGCTAAGCATGTTCCTCGGGTGGAATCCTCAGACCACCATTTGCTACCCTGAAGTTAGATTCTGGAGCCGCCCCTGTGTGATAATCGCTGTCTACTGATAAGTTAACATATTTTTTTTTTTTTTTTTTTCGCAGAGGATACGCGTCCGGTAACCAGACGTGGATTAGGCATCCGGCAGTTACTGTCATAACCTAACCTAACCAACCAAACTTGCTGATAATGAAAAAAATCAAATGAAGGTTCAATTCTCTTCAGAACATAAAATTATAAATGCCAAAAATTCTAACAAAAGATGTACAGTTAAGAAGAAATTAGGCCTACATTCAAAGCAAAACCTGTGACAAAAAGTTAAAGAAATCGATGGGTTTCGAACCAGGGACCTCTTGGATATCAGCCGAGCACTCTATCCACTACACCACGTACAACGCTGGCCGCACATCGTATCGTTGTGGTAATGGCGTTCCGGGACCCCACAACCCGGTGACGTCACTACCGGACGCCTAATCCACGTCTGGTTACCGGACGTGTATCCTCTGTGTTTTTTTTTTTAGCCTATTTGTTAGAGTGGGTTAGGCCTACCAAAGTTTCGCCTTTTAGTATCTAGGCCTACCATCAATAAATAACCATACGGTAAATTAATAGGTTTTAAAAAAAATTATGAACATCTTAGCGTCCATGTATTAGCCTAGAGGTAAAACTTAGCTTAAGTCCTAGTGGCCTGAGCAGAGCAAAATGTCTAAAAGTAACCTGTGATTAACCTAAGGTTGGTTCCTGCCATTTATTGTATTACTGATTTATCGTTCCTATCCTATTCCTAATCGTGTTCTATTCACAAAAACGTATTACCGTACTTACAGTAATTTGAAAATCTTCTCAGTTACCCGATACAGAACAACCTAACCTAAGACGAGCGTCAACAACAAATAACTAACTTATTGCAACAGGAAAAAATAATTTAATTTACTTACCATATGAGTTGGAATGGAATTAATTATATCCATTGTCTAAGTAGGTTTGAGCTTGAGCCAATATCAGCAAATTTATCAACAATCTAAAGACTAAGTGCAAAAGTTCCAGTTGTTGTGGTGAGGTAGGGAGAGCGGACGGACACGGGGACACGTACACGAACACGAACATCAACAGTAAACATATGTTCTTTTTTTCAGTGTTGCCATAACAGAGTGAGAGAAGCTATAAAAAGTTTTAATACAGGTAGTAGACTATAAGTAGTTTGAAGCCCAGTATTAAAACATCGATTCACGTTTAGACCATTGATTATCAAAAAGCTATAATAAAATTTCTTTTCCATAGATAGGAAAACAAAATTTTTAATCAATACAATTTAATAAATAATTATTATTACAATATAGGGTGAGTTTTAAATGAGTTTCCCCTCCCCCCCCTATTTTTTCTACATTTCTTACATTTTTAGGATATCAACTCCGGACCACGTCAGATCATTGTAGAGTAGTAAGTACTTCATCATAGATAAATCAAATCAAATCAAATCAAATCAAATCATTTATTGATCATGGACATTTAAAACATGCATTGACATTGTCAGTGGAGCAGAACATAAAATTTCAATGTTCATTGTCTAAATAATAAGAGGTAACTTGGGAGTACCTCAATAATTACCGGTTGGTAACTTGGGAGGTAACATGGAGGAGTGTGTTTTATCTATGATTATAGCTTGAAAAGATGTGAATAAGTGAGTATTTATTTACTATCAAACACAATTTATATAATGTTTCAAAATAACGCAGGATTTAACGTGCAATAACCATAGATCTCTAAATAATACAACAATTTCACAATTACGGTCGTATTATATAGAGATCTATGGCAATAACTTATAAATAGGTTTTTGATATGGATATGGATCCACCATATCGGATACAGGTTTTTCTCAAACTTAAAGGTAGGGTTGTGAGTTGTGACCCATCGTTTCAAACTAGATTTTTCGTCTACGATGCTGCAATCTGTTTTTAAAAATCTTGATCCATTCTAAAGTTATGAGAACTTTTTATAACTTTATTTTTAGCCCATTTTAACATTGTGTATTTACACTAAGACCATATAATCTCAAAATAGTGCATGGATAAAGATAAGTATACACCATCCAGTCATTTTCACTTGGTTATGACGGATGTATTTTTTCTGCCATCTTGGATCCGCCATTTTGAAAATGTGATAAATTATTTTAAATATGAAGGTGGTATTGTGACCCATCATTTTGAATTACTTTTTTATGCTGAACTCAATGCCACAATCAGTTTTTTGTGATCAAGCTTTCTTGATTAAATATTACCATTATTTCATTTCAAATATCAATATTTCAAAAACAAAATGTGAAAATGAAAAACGGATTGTGACATTGAGTTCAGCACAAAACAGTAATTCAAAATTATGGGTCACAACACCACCTTCATATTTAAAATAATTTATCACATTTCAAATTGGCGGATCCAAGATGGCGGACGTTTAAAAATTAAGTAATAAAGTCCTTATAATTTTAGAATGTATCAAGCTTTAAAAAAACAAATTGTGGCATTGTAATCAGCGTAACCCTACCTTTACATAAAAAAAACTTTGTATCCAATATGGAGGATCCAAGATGGTGGTCAAAAATGTATACCCAGTAAAAATGAAGTACTTACTACTCCACAGTGATCTGACGTAGTCCGGAGTTGATATCTTAATTAAGAAATGTTGAAAAAAGTAGAGGGGCTCATTTAAACCTCAACCCTGTATAGATTATTTTCCATTAACGCGGGCTACCATACAAGTGTGCCTTTAACGAATTCGTGTTAAGAAATGGATTTGTAAAAAGTATAATATTGACTGTACAAAAGCCGAGTTTTTAGTCAAATATTATTAGTAGGACTGACAACTAATTACTCTACCGTACTAGTGTACTACATTAATATTGCCCAATAAATTAAATTCAAATTTTTTTTTTAAATTCAAATCACATCGGTTGTTTAATGTGTCTAGCCACTTTATACCGAGTTCAATTAACTAAATTGATTGTTTTTAGATTTAGAAAATCCGTGGTCGTGGTTAGCCAATAGGTCAGGGTTATGGAGTGTTGGAGATGGGACCTGGCTTCGGCTTGGGCTTTTCTTGGGGCGAAGAAGGTTGATCTCGATCGGACTTAGCCTTCAGAAGAAAATGAGAAGTAAAGTACAAATGGAATATAAAAAGCCTAGCCCGAAGTAATATGCGCTAAAAGGTTCCACGCTAGTTCCCTCTAGATCTAGGAGTAGAAGTAAGGGATTTTAGCCATCCGAGATCAAAGCAGGAAGCAGGAGATTTTTAGTAGTCCGGGAACATTGAGCTCGCCTGAGTCCAGCATTGCTGGGCCTGGTCTGGTGGTAGGACTGTGGGACTTCATCAGTCTCTAAAGATCCCGGGCTCAAATACCACCAAATCACCAATCACGAGGAAAACTTGACCGACGTTAAATTACGGCCAGTCTTTACCTCGTTTGCTACGAGAAACGTATCCGCCAAAACTTGCCACACACCCAATGGCGGTTCCAGGGGGGGGGCTACAGGGGCTAAAGCCCCCCCCTTGGACCTTGGAAAAATAAATAAAAATAAAGCGGTAGCACCAGTAGCCTATTACCATTGACATTGGCTATACAAACACAAGTGTTTAAGTTTATATAGTCAATGTTATTACTGAATTTGATACTATACACATTGTGACAGCTCTATGAAATGGATAAACATGTAAGGTTAAAAAACGTCTCTACTTGCTTGCATGACATATAACAGGTTAAATGGGGGGGGGGGGTAGGACAATTGGACTCAGAAACTGATTTTAGGAAATATGGCTTCGTAGTCTACAGTAGGCTTATGTTTTGAAATTCACGAATGCAAATTCGTCATAGTTTAATTTTTTTATGTTAACGGTACTTGCTCATAACAAAGACAAATAACGGGACACAGATATAGGCATTAATAATTGCTTTAGAAAGTCAGTAAACAGCTTTTAGGAGGATATGTCCGTAGCCTACAATATGTTTTGAGATTAAGGAATGCAATCTCATAGTTAATTTTAAAATTGTCTACAAATAAATGGGGAACCGAGAGGGTTTTGCAATCAGTTTTACACGTTAGAAATGGCTTTAGAAAGTCACCAAACGGCTTTTAGGAGGATATGGCCGTAGTCTACAGAGTTTTAAAATTCATTAATGCAGTCGTCACAGTTTAATTTTTTTAATGCCCACTTGCTAATTACAAAATTCCAAATTTTCCCGGGGGAATAGGCCCAGACCCTCCTACTTCATTGGGGGGTGCCCCACACACCCCAAGCCCCCCGGTAGCCCCCCCTCCAACCACATTCGGCAGTCGACAGTCACTCAGTAAACGTGCAAACTTTAATAACCACAAGTTTGTTTCTGTTAAAATGTGTTATGTTGCATAGTAACACTATTCCATTCAAAATTTGAGTGCTTAAACACAAACAACACAAAGTCACCCATTGTCAAGACTCAAAATTATTTGTACAATTTGACCATATACGAGCAGGTAACATAGACTTATGGTAATCAGTTATAGCACATTTTACAATTCTGTTTAATTTATTTTGCTTGCAACAAAGCCTGCAACGATTACGCATAATTGTAACGGTGTTTGGGCAGTTTCTTTACAAAAATACCCTGTCTTTTTAGAAAAGGGCTGCCATTATTTAAATTTTCCCTACACGATTAAATTGTTTTCCAATGAGTACCTGGTATTGAGAGAGTCATAGATGAATAACCATACGGATTGTGCCTATTGAAAGTCAGGTTCAGTTGTCGTAGAAATAGACAATAATATATTTGAAGCAATCTGGAGAGACGTCTGTATTGGCCCCCTGAACATTAAAAAAAAGACTCGATGGTTTTTGTTATTGTTGATTGTTGTGAGGATTTCTGTTTAGTAGATTTTAAAAAAACCGTGTGATTTAAGTTATAAACTAACTTACTGTGGGTTTTCCAGTTTAAATAGTGGCGGCTCTTCTCTGGAAAAGACCCGAAAATACCTTCTAAAATCACAGGCAATAAAACAAAAAATAATACAATAATAAACAAAGTGTGGAAGCTAAATTAACCCAAATATTATAAAGATTGTAGTCAAATAAAAACTATTGAAAATAACGTAAGCAAATAAGGATTTATGAAGTTTTGAAAACAATGATTTAGATTCCTTTGGTTATCGTATTTTAAATAAGCACATTACAAATATACAAAAATTAATACTGCTATTTTTCAGCTTCGTTTATCTTCCATATTCTTAGACCTTTGAACATTTAGTTACATTTATTTGATAGACAAAGTTTAAGAAGTAAAAGAATAATTAGAAAAATATATTTTTCTTACAATATTAATCTGTGCTGGGATTAAACTTAAAGGTTTGCTTAGATAGTTCCGATTTAAATTATTGCTTTCTAAATCACGTTAATATGGTTCTTGTAGAAATTATACAAACCTATTATGAGTAAAACTAGTAAACCCCGTCCAAACCACAAACCCGCCATTTTTTTTTTTATTTTGATGACTTTGAAATATTAGATGGATCTGTTATTTTATCATGTTATAGGCCTATAATTATTGTTACAATTCAAAATTAATGTTATTTCAGGTGAAAATGTCTAAATACCTTTTACTGCAGCCAGAAGATGGGTGTATAACACCTCAGCCCGCTCCGAGAACTCGGATAAGGGTAAACATTTTGTTTTAATTAAAAGTAATCTAAAGTAATAATGGGTAGAGAGAAACACGCCTACAACCTGTGCCAAATATTCTTATGCGGCAAAAAGTAATACACACATGAGAACAAACCAAAATATCAAAATATTTACTACAAATACCGCTTTTAGCGCATTTCCATATAGGGAAGAAGCTATTACCGTAGACAGCAAGGAAAGACCTAATAGACCCGGGACCGACTTACTTTTTTCATTTCGATGTTCTCAGGGGCCAAAAACACTATTCGTATAAATTTTTAAATTTCATACTTGGTTAGAATTGTTTTATATGTCCGTGAACACAACCACTCTAGTAATATTCGTCGAGTTTTGATGAATTTAGCATGAAGGTGTAGCAAA